GATTGGGAATATGGATGTTGATGAGATCGCTGAAATTGGATTATCAGATGATCCTTACCTCCATGCAACTGCTGAGATTATGGGAGATTTGTAAGTCGACAACAATCAAGAATGAAGATGGGGGGGGTGCACAACATAGTAACATGGTCAATCTTTTTAGGTTGCACTTGTTGTATTGGACTGGACAAAAGCACTCACTTAGTGCATGCGCATGCCATGTATTGAATATGTGTCTACAACGGGGGATGGCTCCAGCTGTTAGCAGTGCTTGCACGTATTTAGCCGCGATCGGCTACATTGAGTTGCACAAGAATCATGCGGCGGCCAATGTGAGTACAAGTCTTATGTGTGGGTTGATGTAACCTACTTATCACTTGTAATTTAGAAAATCGCAAAACTCGGTGTCATCATTGCTGATCGACATGGTGGGAATTCAGAGAAGGCCCAATCCTACCTGCTATATGTGATATTCGTGGATCACTTTCTATATCATAACCGCAATGGATTACCCATGCTTGAAGCTGCAACACAGCATGCCTTTGCCGCAGGAGATCGTCATTTTACAAATTACGGCAAACTTCACCTAAGCATGAGTCGTTTTGCTGTGGCACATCATTTGAGCGACGTATTGCCTATTGCAGAAGAATGCTATGAAGAAGTGCACAAATGGTCTACTGCTGTTGAAACAAATGTAATGGCCATCACAGTTGTGAGAGCAACCAAAGCATTACAAGGACGAACATACTGGGATACGGATAACGTGTACGATGGTGACGATGGATTCAACGACGAGCATTTCCTCACCGAGAGTTTCAAGCAAAGCCCAAATTCCACTATCGCTCTTAGCTGGTATCAGTCCTACAAGATTATTCCCTTGACATTGTACGAGCGATACGAGGCAGCCATTGAAGTTGGAGACCATATCTTTCGCACCCTAGAACACGTTCCATACATCAGACACACGCGGGTGGCATTATTCTATCATTCAATCTCTCTCATTGGATATGCGCGTGAGAACAGCGAAGCATTGGAGAAATGCCTGAAGCAAGTGGATCAGAACCAAAATCTCCTATACGAATGGGTAGAGCTGAGTCGTATCAACTATATCACTTTTTGGACATTGGTGGAAGCAGAGCTTGCGGATCTTCAAGGAGACAACATCAAGAAAGCCATCTTATTGTATGAAGAAGCTATCAATCATGCTCGTGAAGGAGAATGGTATCTGGAGCTAAGTATGGCGCATGAATTGGCTGGAGCTTTCTATTACCGCCAAGGGATTCACAATGTTGCATACAACATGATCAAAAAGGTAAATTATGATGGGGGAAGGTTTTCGATTATGGAACGTTTATTGATTTATATATGCCTCATACTAGGCAGTGGATCTTTATACTGCATATGGCGCATTTGGCAAGTCACGTCACCTTAATGGAAAGTACGCCGATTTACTCAGCTCATTCAATGATGATCGAGCCGATACACGTGATAAGAGCGCACAAACGGATCCATTCCCTCTATTGGCAGCTCCCCTTCACCAACATCATCATCAAGAATCATTTGGCGGCCCTTCATATGACCGCATTGATAGCAGCCCGGTAGCTGATGAACCCTATAACTCGGAGTCAATACCACCTATCACAACAGAGCAAACATTGGTGACATTGGATATTGTAAGTAACAGGATCAGTGATATTGCATATCTCCTGATTTATTATGCATAGATCGACATGGCATCCATTCTCAAGAGCTCCCAGGTGCTTTCATCCGAAGTCAAGTCCGACGCATTGCTGAAGAATATGATGCAGATTATTCTTGAGAACTCCGGTGCTGATCGAGGTGCTATCATTGTCAAGGAGACCAAATTTGGAATCGGTGCCTATGGCAACCAGCAAGAAGAGGACACGATTGTCACATACGAAGAACCAGAGCGTATTTCGAAGAGTAGCGTCATGGTATCGAGCCAAATCATCAACCACACAATCCACACCTCTGAGAGCATTTTCATTCCTGATGTCGAACAAGATGCAAGATTTGCAGTGGGACCATGGTTTGAGCGTGCTGGCAAGAAATCAGTAATCTGCATGCCGATCATACACAAGATGACAATTGTTGGCTGCATCTTTCTTGAAGGTGCTATTGGGATCTTTACGCAACGCCACATTACAGTGCTTGGATTACTCTGTCAGCAAATGGGTATTTCATTGACCAATGCTTCATTGTTCAAATCCGTGCGACGTGTTACAACGGCCAACATGAAGTAAGTAGCAAGCGGCAATCATGGACAATGGGTTTTGGTAAGTTACTCATGATCGATGTAGGATGATTGAGATGCAAAAGCAAGCATTGGAGGAAGCACGGCGCAGCAAGGAAGCAGCTGATAAGGCGACTCGATTGCGAGAGATCTTTTTGGCCAACATGAGCCATGAAATTCGGACACCATTTTCGGGATTCTATGGCATGATCACATTGCTGTCAGAGACAAAGTAAGGTGCCGGATTGTGGTAACACATATGCATGACGGCTGATCACATGAAATTAACTAGGTTGGATCCTGCACAATACGACTTGGTGCGAACGGCTAAATCATCGTGTGAAGGATTATTGCAGATCATCGACGACCTACTCAACTTTTCAAAGCTACAAGCCGGCAAAGTATCTCTTGATTTGGCACCAGTACATGTGGAAGAGCTCATTGCCGATGTGATTGATATGCTGATCGCCATTGCTATTCAAAAACGCATCAACGTTACGTACACGGTTGCAGAGGATGTGCCAGCCGTTGTAATGGCAGACGCCAACCGGCTCAGACAGTAGGTTTTATTATTGGATACGCGATACAATGCTTATTGCTTATACTTTGCCATATAGGATTATCATCAATTTGCTTGGGAATGCTGTCAAGTTTACGCACCATGGAGAAATCAGTATTCGATGTTCCATTGACGTCCGCAAAAAGAAGGCTGTTGACCAAGGATCCCATGTTCCATTGCTGTTTGAAGTGATTGATACAGGCATTGGCATCAGCAAGGAGCAGCGCAAGGTGTTGTTTATGCCATTCTCACAAGTGGATGGTAGCACTACGTAAGTTGATTATATAATAATGCCATATATGAAGATACGTATAATGATTGGCACGATATGTCTTTAGCCGCAAGTATGGTGGTACCGGTCTTGGTCTTTCCATTTCCCTTCAATTGGTCACTTTGATGAATGGCGATATCGATGTTGTGAGCGAGGAAGGAAAAGGATCCAATTTCCGCTTTTCAATCGAAGTTTCACCGGTGCATGATCAATCCCGAAGATTCACTGAAGCAATGCAAGCAATATCCAAGAGCTTTATCAAAACACGAGTCCTTGTTGCCGATACACATCATGCCACAGTGGATATGATGACCAACTTCCTTCCGAATTTACCACTTGATGGAGTATCTGATTATGCAGAGTTGCAGCAGGAGACACCTTATGGAGTGGTCATTGTGGGATTGCTTTTGGATCACAAAGAAGGGACGCTAAGCTACTGGGAAAACGAGCTCCAAAAGATTATGAAGCGTGCCAAGGTTACGGTTATCATGCATTATCCCTTGGGAACTAGCAATGTTCAAGGCAACATCGGAGGTGTTGGACCTATTCTCGAAGCAGCATCTTCGTCAGTGGAGCAAGAGCAGCAACGTCAGCAACAACAACAGCCATTCCATATATCATCTTATGGCTATCTTGATGAGCAACAAAGCATTGTGCGTATGGGAGTTCCATTGCGACGCAACAAGCTTTTGAGGATGCTGGCAGGATTTCTCAAGGAGGATGATCCAAGTAGTACACCATCACCCAAGACGCGACCAAACATCTTTGCACGTATCAGTAGCAGTGAGATCAAGCTTGCCATTGAGACGATACCAGAGGAACATCGTAAAGCATTCAAAAAGACAAACATCTTGGTTGCAGAAGGTAGGTTGACAACAATGTATGAAGGTTTGCATACTAAAGGATACTTTCAGATAACCCTGTTGCACAAAAGCTGCTATGCAAGCAATTGAAGCGATATGGCTTTAATATCACGTGTGCCAATAATGGAGCTGAAGCGATTGATGCATGGACCAAACGACCGGTTGGATACTTTAAGATGGCTCTGTTTGATCACCATATGCCCAAATGTGACGGTGTGGAAGCGACCAAGACCATTAGGAGACACGAAAAGGAGCAAAATAGCAAGACGCGATTACCGATTGTGGCACTCACAGCAGACATACAAGATAGTGCAAGAGCAATTTGCGTGGATGCCGGCATGGATGGGTAAGATTTGATATTGGTTGCTATGGATACTCGAGCGTAGGCTAATCACTGTGATGCTTTTTTTAGATATCTTACCAAACCTTTAAATGAGTTTGCTCTGCTTGAATTTGTTAAACAATATTGTATCGATCGATAAAGCACTTTTGTGGTTATACAGAGTAGCCGAGGCAGAAGTTTAGGAGCGAGGAAATCCATTAGTACTATATTCAAACCGTGATGGCACAATGCAAAGTGAGGATTGATTGCTGTTATCCATGTAATTGGATCATTTCTCTTTCTTTACCTTACTCGAATACGCAGATACCCATACACACCATGATTAAGAGCAACCTCACAATGAAAAGTCGCCTTTGTAATAGGAATATGCATCGGACTACAAGTGATTATTTCATTGTTTGATGGCTTGTTTGTCAGCAACCTTAATCTGAACGAATGTCTTGGTGGGGGGGGGAAGCACTAGCCTAATTCCCCATCCCTCTTCATCCTCACATATTACATCCACACTTATTGGTCTTAGACGCATTCTTCATTCTATATACTTAGTATTCAACAACGTAAATGTATCACATTTGCAACTATTCTATTGATGAATCCATTGATCCAAAAATGCAGAAAGAAAGAAAAAAAAACAACTTTTGACGCTGAAACATTCATTCTCTGTTGCTTGAGGAAATCATATGTATTATAGGATAAGAAGAGTATACACGCTGCTATGATCTTTTACAATATGCACGTAATGCTTCTGCTAGCGATTTTTGATTCATTGGCTTCGTGATGTACCTGTGAGTTGTGCCTTAGCATGCATTGATCATCTTCTCGTTTCCGATCCTATATACTTACGCATCCATTCCTGCGTTAAGGCATGTCTCTTTTGCACTTTGCTGTACATCGGCAGTCAGCGCTACAATGGGTAATCGAGCCTTGCATTGGTGCTCCTTTTCAATCTCACGAATCTTTTTCGTTGCTTCAACACCATCACACTATACACACCTTCTTTTTAGAATCATCGTCGTTTCATATACATACATCCTCTTCCTCTTCCTCCACTTACCCTAGGCATATGATGGTCGAAAAAACCCATTTGAAAGTAACCAGGTGGATGCTTTAGCCACGCTTCCACTGCTTCTAATCCATTGTTTGCGCACTCGACTTGAAATCCCAAACGCGTCAATTGTTTGTAGAGTAATTTTTGTGCTACCGGGTTATCTACAACAACATGGCACCATTCAATCAGCTATGCATGTACGCACCAAGGATGAGGCATATGTGTAACAACCAACCTTCTGCTGCAAGGATATGCATAGTGCTAAAGAGAGCACGCTCCTCATCCGTAATTAGGTTGGCAGGCCGGCTGCTTTTTGTTGTCGCTGAGGATGAAATGATGGGAGAACCCGTTGAAGAAGAACGTAGTCGTGTCATATCGACCAAGGTCTGGAGCAATTTTTGGCGTCGTAGTGGGATTGCAATCCGTGAAATGGTGTTGTGGGATGAACGACTACTATCACCTGTGCGTGAATTGGAGAGCGTTGATTGAAGATCATGGTTGAAATCACCGTTCATTTGACTACCACTTGGGTAATGCATAATCATGCCACATCCAACTTGATCCACAAGCATCTTTATATGACTTGACCACGCTTGTCGCTCTGAGGGCTGTATCAAAAACATGCCGATGATAATAGCGTCATAATGGGGTGATTGATGTAGCTGCTGTAAATGTTCCACAGTGCACGCACCATCCACCTTGACCGTTGGAAGCAAATGCCGTATCATTTCCACCGTTGAAAGATGCTTGTCAACCACAATGACTCGTGTATCCCGTAATGTATTCAAAAAGTTGCCAATGTCATTGTTGTACCGGTCCGATTCAGCCGATAGACCTTGAACCCAAATGGTAAAGTTGAAGTTGGAGCCTTCACCCGGCTTGCTTTTCACATCAATACGGCCCGACATCAACTCAACCAGCTGAAGGCAAATCGACAATCCGAGACCTGTACCACCGTATCGTCGCCTATACAATAAAAGTCAATACAACATCCATCATTAAACATCATTGAGATCCCACTTACGTTGTACTGCCATCCACCTGAGAAAAGGGTACAAATAGCACTTTACGTTGTTCCTCACTGATTCCAATGCCAGTATCAATGACTTCAAATAATAGCGGTACTGTGTCTTTTTGTGCCTTTGTACTTGTGGCTCGCTTATCAATGCTGCATCGTATACTAATTTCGCCTTTGTCTGTAAACTATAACATCATGCATCGGTTGAATACTTTTGGAATCACATACATAATGTAGATTTTCTTACCTTCATTGCATTGCCAAGTAGGTTGATAATGATCCTTTGATAATGTATACGTGAGTAACGTAAACAATGAGAAGATTGTTTAATCTTGCACTTACTGCCTCAATCGATTGGCATCACCAAGTATGACGGGTGGTACATCATTCGCCACCGTATAAGTCACGTTGATCCGGTTTTGTACAGCCATAGCAATAAGCATCTCGATCACATCCACAATCATGTCCTCGACAACAACAGGTGCCAAATCCAACGAGACCTTGCCAGCTTGCAGCTTTGAAAAGTTGAGAAGATCATCAATGATCTGAAGTAATCCTTCACACGATCCTTTGGCTGTTTTCACCAAGTCGAGCTGTTCTTCATTGAGATTGGTGTCCGCAAGTAATGAAATCATGCCATAGAAACCAGAAAATGGCGTTCGGATCTCGTGACTCATGTTGGCTAAAAAGATCTCTCGTAGCCTAGTCGCCTTGTCAGCCGCCTCTTTGCTCTTGCGAGCTTCCTCTAGTGCTTGCTTTTGCGTTTCAATCATCCTATGTAATCATCATCCACATATAGATAAGTATCATCATCCTCCCTACATGTGATGTTACTTACTTGATCTTGTCATTGGTTACTTGTTTCACCGACATGAACAAAAAGGCCGTGGTGATGGAAATACCCATTTGCTGACATAGCAAGCCAAGAACTGTGATGTGCCGCTGTGTGAAGAGACCCACTGAACCTTCGATAAATAGACACCCGACGACCATGTTCTTATGAATGATTGGCATGCAAATGATGGACTTTCGACCAGAACGCTCAAACCAAGGTCCCACGGCAAATCGCTGATCTTGCTCAACATCTGATATAAAGATACTCTCACGCGTGTGGATGGTGTGATTGATGATACGACTGGATACAAGATCATCCGATTCAGACAATTGACGTGGTGGGGTATAGGTGATAGCCTCCTTATTCCCTTGTTGATGATATGCATATACAGCGTACTTTGGATCCTTGCTATAGCCATTTCCTCCATTTGTGCTGACAGAATTCTTTAGAATGAGAGCTCCACGTTCAGCGCCAGAATTTTCCAGGATAATGTTCATCATCGCTGTCATCAAATTTTCAAACTTGATCTCAGAAGACATGACTTGAGAGCTCTTTAGGATGGATGCCATATCGACCTATGAAATCGACAACAATGTTGTTAGCCGATGATTGATCATACAATAAAAGCATCTTACAATGTCAAGGGTCATTAGCGTCTCCTCTGTTGTCACCGGTGGGATGATGGTATCAGCCATATAGGGTTCATTACCCTGATGATGATGATGATGCTGCTGTTGTTGTTGTTGATCATAGCTTGAAGGGCCCAATGTGCTGCTGGCAGCTTGATGTCCAAGATAAGGGAGATCGGTTTGAACACCAGCTTCATGAGCGTCGCAATTATTATCATCGAACTCTGCCAATAAATCTGCACGAATGTTGCTGAGATGTCGTGCTTTGCCATAAGCGCCGTGGCAGATATACAAGTCGATCGCCTTTTTGATAAGGTTGTAGGCGACATTGCGTAATCCAATCCTCTCGTAAAACATGCCAGAGCATTCGTGTGCTATACACACAGCAAGATGCCATCCACCTTCACGTGCTTGATCAATAGCCTCCTCGTATAAACGACATGCACGAACAATGTTGCTTTCCATACTGGCAAGTTCAGCTTCAATCAGGGTCCAATACATCATGTAGTTGATGCGGCTATGTTCTGCCCACTCATAAACCTTTGCCTGGTTCTCCTTGACTTGCTCCAAATACTTGTTTCTTGTCTCAGGATCCAGGTTGTCTTCACGTAATTTCATGGTAAGCGCCAAAGAGAAATAGTGAAGAAGTATACGTGTATGACGATGACAAGGATGACCATCCACTTCGGCAGCACCGCGAAATCCAGTTTCAAGAGCAGCATCAAGGTGGCCGTATAGTGTCTGTGGAATGATCTTGAACGCCTCATACCAATTCACAAGTAACTCAGGATTAGAGCTATGCTTGCAACTCTCCTTGAGAAAATGTGCATCATTGAATCCATCCTCGCCATCAAACACTTCGGGCGTATCGATAAATGTATGACCTTGCAAAGCCTTGCAAACTCTCACAATCGTCATAGCGAACATGTTGCTGTCGATCGATGCTGACCATCCATGGATATCTTCATAGTTGCTCTCGGCTTCGTGAAGCGTGTCCGCTAGATTTCGATTGAGTCCAAAGAGGATGACCAGCCGATGGACTTGGTTGAAGGCCATAAAGATACGATCACCAGCTGAATAAGCAATGTTGATACCAGCGTCAAAGTACTTGAGTGCTTCACGATGATGGTATTTCCAACGGATGTTGAATACGGCATATTGCATATACGCTCGTCCTTTCTCATAAGGTCCACCATGCCTGTCGATCAAGGCTAATCCAATTGCACCAATTTCCTATACATAGAATCATGATCAATTGATGAACATACATTAGAGGGTGCGTACATACCTCTGCAAATATGTACTTTTTGTACAATGTAGCATACGCAATTCCACAAAACTCACAGCCTCCACCTGTTCCTGGTGAGATCCCGTTTTCCAATGACAATTGAACAATTCGCATGGAGCAATAATAAAGTTCCTTCTTTTGCCCTCCCCAATAAGCAAGTGCACACCTATCATTGTTCATTTGAAGGATGAGCTTCTTGTTCCTCTTCATACACAAATAAAAAGCACTTACAGTTCTTCCATGATTGAAACGATTCCACGCAACAAAGGATCTTCACATGCTGGCATATTGATGACTTGCTCTGAACCCATTTCCACCATGGTGCGCTCCACATCATCATACAATTCCTTGAGCTCTTGATCCGTACACGAATTGAATTTCTCCATATCTTCACCAAGATCCTCAAGACATCGATGGAGCACTTCACGTCCTTTATCATGCATCTGACAACTGAAACAGTATTTTGATTGGACACGGTATGCCGGCATTCGATCAAATGGCGTGCGTGCATGTGCAAAGATAACATCCAGGAGCTCCTCGGTGCGCTCATATTGACCCACCACCCAACTGAGTGATACGGCATTGGTATAAAGATGTAGTGTCATGCTGTAATTCTCGTCTCCTTGCCACTCAGTGGCATGATCAGCAAGCTCGATGGCAGTGTTGTAAAAATCGAACGCCATACGATGAGCACCAGACGAACGTCCTTTGTTGCCAGCCTCAATCAACACCTTCCGATATGGCTCTTTGTCTTCCATTCCATCCAATAAACTTCGACATTTCAAGAGGTGGTCCGCAATAAGAAAAGTGTCTGTGTGGTTCTCTAAAATCAAAGAGCTATTGTTAGCTGCATGCAATAATGATGGCATGATCACGTTTACCTTTCATCATATGTTGTGCAATAGCAAGATGGATTCTACTACGAGCCTTTGGACTAGCCAATTCACCAGCAGCTTGTGTAATTCGATCATGGCTCCACTTGAACTCATCATCTCCTAATGGCATGATGTATCCTTCTTGCAGCACCGATTGCAATCCATTCATGGGGTCATTGAGTGTTGTTGATGATGTTGCTCGAGAATTGGTGAGCGTAGTGGGACGTTGACATGGTCGCTGTTGTTGTTGACCGATTGATAATGATCGCATTGCCGAAGATGTATCCACCACTGTTTCCACAGAGCCGATATCGGTTGATACTGATCCATCATCATCCAATGTCATGGTGTCAGGTAATACGTTGCCATCCGAGCCGATACTACTATCGTCAGCTGCATCTGAACTCTCCATCAAGGTTTTAACAGTGGTCCATGAAAACGTATCTCCCACAAACGATGCCCACTTCAACACTTGTTGGCTGTCACGCGATAACTCCTTCAATCGGGCAACCATAAACGAGACGTCGAGTTGCATATTCGCTTGCACGCTGTAACTGGTACCATCCTGAATCTTTTCCAGATCAAAATCCCATTCATTGCGCTCCCAGTTGAAAAAGATGAGCTTTTTGCGTTCGAGTGTGCGTAATAATTGTGCCGTGTAGAATGCATTGCCGGCTGTCTTTTTGATAATGATCTCAGCGAGTGGTACGACGTCTTCACGATTCTCCTCTCTTGACCGATGCAAAGTGTCGCATAAAAAGTCAACCATGGAATCCGTATCCAATGCGTCCACCTTGATGAATTCAATGCATGGTGCTTCCTTCTCCAACATCTCTCCCAACTTGGGCGTGATTTCTTGGTCTCGGTAAGATACAAGGATGAGAATCCTCACTTTTGCAATGATCAAGCTGTCAATAATCTCGATTGAATGGTCATCTACGTGCATTATAGATACATCATGAGTATCACGTGTCGAATGAATCGTATAATAATTCTACCTGCTTGATGTAAATCATCGAGAAACTAAAAAATCGCGTATAAGATCATGGAATGTTGTAGCATGTAATACAATAAAAGAAAACATACAAGAGTAACCATACGCCAATGAGTGACAGCACGAAGAATCTCGACAAAGAGGTTGTGAAATCGGGCCTGAGCTTCAACATTATCCATTTGATACGCATCGCTTGACTCCTCCGTTTTGATGCTGCCAGGATCCAAAAGCGCTTTCAGCTCAGGTACAAAGTCTGTGAGCAGGGCAATGTTGCAAAACTGGGAACCGAGGTGCGCCTTGAGATGATCATAAAACATGCGAATATCAGCTTCGGTCTCTGACAGGATTTGCTGGAGGATTTGCGACAATGATCGCAGCACACCGCTATAAGGGACCTTGTTTCTCGAATCATACTTGACACTTGCGATGTATCTATAATGAATGAGCAGGGTATTAGTTTCAATGATGACTTGCCACACACTTTTATAACTACAACTTGCCCACTTTTCCTAGCAGTTGCTTGGACGGCAGTAAACATGGTTGATTTGCCTATTTAACATACGCATGCATGATATTAGTAAATGAAAAAAGGCAATGTATAACCACTACTTACCTATTCCACCAGGTCCATATAAGCTCACAATCCTTGTACCGCCTTGCTTATTGCTTGCTACTGTTCCTCCATGTATACTAGTCGCTTCATCGCTCCCTTGGTCACCCCCACAGCCACTGTAGCGCAAAGACGTTGATCTGTTGAAGCTACCACCAGCTTGACTAGATACCTCGCTATTGCTGCATCCATCCGAAACACTTTCGCTGCTGCTAAAATGGGTGCTGTTTGTTGTTCCCGAAACCGATGCTTTGTCATGGTTGGCTGAGTTGTTGTTGTTGTGCACGCGTGTTGGTCGATACTCTGCCACATAACGCTCGATGGCATGATTCAACTTGGATATCACAGCATGGCGTCCATAAATGGTCTTTGGGAGTGTAAACACGGATGCGATATCTTGCTTTCCCAGTGGAAATGGTGAAATGGTCTACAAGATGACAACACATGTTATATGCAAATTCAGCTAGGTATCCTTTTTTCCTCATCATCACCTCCCCCTTTTTACATACCTCTGTGCTATCGGGATCATCATCATTGGTGAGCCTCTTGAGGCATTCCTTTAAATCAGCACGTACGCCATGTGCGCTTGAATAACGATCGTCAGGTGCCTAGCATGAGATAAGAGAAGCTGAACTAAAGCTGATCTGTACACTGCCACATGATGAAGAAAGAAGGTATAATGGATACTAACCTTGCTCGTCATCTTTTCAATAATGTGTGAGAGCACTTCGGGGATATCGACTCTCAATTCATGAACAAGAGGCACCTTTCGGCTGACGATGCTGTTGAGTACTTCGAGAGGACCTCCATCGAATGGTGATTGTTGTGTCAATAGGGTGAAGAAAACGATTCCAAGAGAATAAATATCGGAACGATGATCCGGTAAATAGGTTGTACGACCCGTCTGCTCAGGACTCATGTACATGAGAAGATTCTGGAGCACGTATGTCATGTGCTTGTTGTTGGCTGCCTTTTTCCACCCTTCACTTGTAAGGTAAGTCTCGAATGATTTCCCCGATCCAAAATTCCACATCTTGACAGCCGCTTCCTCTTCTTGTTGTTGTTCATCGATCCATTGAAAAGCTGATAATCTAATCTCGCCATGAACGGTGTCGTTGCGATGGATAAATTCGAGACAATCGGTGCATTTGATGGCAAATCGTAAAAAGGAGCCGAGATCACAGTGCATGGATACCAGCTGTTGTTGTTCAGGACAAGGAGTAACCAAAGTAGGGACGTCACCTGCACTATGACGCAGCATCATCATAGCCCGCGTTCGTATGGAGTTGTTGTTGCTGCTGCTACAACTACTATCACCTCCACTACTTCCACCACCACCACCACCACCACCACCACCACCACTACTTGTTGCTGCTGCTGGTGCCCATCCTGGATCACTGCTGTTGCTTGAATCTTGTAGCAATTCATCTGATGCACGTCGCTGTTGTTGATGTAACCATGACGTGTATCCATCATTTGCATAAATGGCCACTGAAAGACCGCTTGACAAGTTGATGCATTCGATAGGTCGGACTAGAGAATCATGTTCCTATCGTTAGTATAAATACAAAAGAGGCAAGTCAAGATCGATCCTCCCTCTCCTTACTTACCGATGTATGTTGGTCCATCAGGAAGATTGTACAGTCTTTTCATGCCATAAAATTCGCGTTCCAATTGAAGTGAATTATTCGATACTTTGGCCATCACTGGTTTCTTATTGGATATCCTTATAAAGCACGAGCCACATGTTAGAACACATGGATACATGTATCATCATCATCATCACCCATTCTACCTCCTACCTGTAGCCGTGAACAATGTCAACATTCTCGCCATGCGTTAAACAAGGGGTCACCACCGATTTGAAATGGTAGCCAGTAATGTGCAGAGTGTTGGTTGCCAATGCACCCGTCCATTCGGGTAGAGAACCAGTGCCTGATCCTGAATTGGACATTGTGTGGGGCGGAGCAGACGGAAGGCGCGATCCGAGAGTGGGAATGGAAGAAGAGAAGAAAAAGAAAAAAGAAAAAGAACAAAAGAAACGAGCTGAGTGAGTGAGGCACAAAGCAAAACGGGGGGTTTGTAAGAAAAGAAAAGATAGCCGTGTGTGCGTGCGTGCGTGAGCGTGAGCGTGTGTGTGTATGCCAATGACAGATAAAGCACACAGACTACACAGGACCGTTCGTCACTCGTAAATTACCTTTTCTTCTCATTCAAGCCGAATCATGCAAACTAACTTTGTTTCTCCAAATCCATACACTCAACTTGCTTCTTTCCCTCTCCACCACCCCCCTTTTTTTGCCTTCTTGTCTCTAACACATCATCGAGATTCATTCTCACATCTACATGGCTTTCCCTGCGTTATCCCAAATTGTCAATTGTAAAAGCAAGAGGAGGCACCATTGCTATCCTTACAAATAAAAACCACCCTTCACTTTCCTTTCTGCTCCTGATAAAACATGATCTTTTGGGTCGATGATTCATGATGATATCATCACCATCATAAACGTAACAAGTCCATTTCATTCAAAAAGCATCATCAGATCAAGTAGCATCATCCATGGAAGAAAAGCTTGTTTTGTATTGCTTGTTGACGGTTGCAGCACCAACATTGTGTAACCAAAAGTTGAGGCTGATTCTGCTCTACCCCTATTTTTTACTTTGCATAACCCTTGAATCCCACATCTCGCCCCCACCTCCACACACAGGATGAATGATTCGAGAACGTCGTCGATAGCAGCCACTTGTGCCGTGGTTGGAGGCACTACAATAGCCATGGTGCTTTGTTAAAGCTTATGGGGTAACGATTGGTAGTAGTGATTAACCAATGAATGATCAATTAACAACCCCATGCTGTACTACCGATCGGCACGCCACATTCATATGGACCTGTGTTACAACGTGATCGCCGATGGAAAGAACCAGACACGATGAAAAGGCTAGACATTGAGACTCATGCACATGCCCTTGTATATTCGTAACCACACGCTAACTCTACTCCCTTATAATGAGTGATGCTTGATGACAATTTATTGATCTATACAATGCTGCTTGATAAATTCAAGAAGCGCAAACTCATTCAATGGCTTTGTTAGGTACCTTCAATATGCATAGAGAATGTCATTAGTACTCAAGGTATTATGAGCGTTTATGCATAGTATTGCTTACCCGTCCATTCCAGCATTAACGCATATTGCCCGTGCACTATCTTGAATGTCAGCTGTGAGTGCCACAATCGGTAATCGTTTCATGTTGCCATGACGCGCTTCTTTTTCCATTTTTCGGATTGTTTTGGTTGCCTCCACGCCATCGCATTTTGGCATGTGATGATCAAAGAATGCTATCCTAAAGTATCCCATTGGCTGATTCTCCCATGCTGCGATAGCTTCTGCACCATTATTGGCGCAAGTAACATTGAAGCCATATCGCTTCAATTGCTTGTAAAGCAACTTTTGAGCAACGACGTTGTCTATAATAAAAGTATACCTTGTTAGAGCCCATTGCCTTATATAAACGGTTGATATACATACCTTCTGCAATCAAAATGTGCATCTTTTTAAATGCATTACGATGCTCTTCTGGTATGGTTTCGATTGCCAGTTTTATCTCGCTACTAGCTGCACGATTGAAATGAGTAGGACGAGGCGTCTTGTTGGTGGGTGATTCCCTATGTTCATTTTCCAAAAATCCAGCTAGCACCTTCAATAGCTTGTTGCGTCGTAATGGCACTGCCATACGCACAAGGCCTTGTTGTACATCCAGATGGCGGTAGGATGATATATGGAAGGGTTGTTGTTGCTGCTGTTGACACCGTTGTTCTCGTTCCACAGCCCAATGAGAGGGTTCAATAAGAGCAGCATCGCCTCTTCCACCATTACCGCTTGCAAGGGGATATTGCATCACCACCGTTACCTTTGCACGCTTCATGATTTTCTGTAACTCGGTCTCCCAGCGACTCAGAGTTCCTTCTTTATGCGCCAACAACAAGCCAACAATGACCACGCCATAAGGTGTTTCCTGCTTCAGATCGACGTAGTCGGATACACCATCGAGTGGGACATTGGGAAGAAAATTGCTCACCATGTTGATGGTGGAACTATGTGTATCGGCAACAAGTACACGTGTCTTTTCAAGGCATTCGGATAATGCTTTCATTGAATCACTGAAATCCTTTGCATTATCGTTTACGGGTGCAACCTTAATGGAGAACCGGAAATTGGACCCTTTTCCTGGTTCGCTTATCACGTCGATATTTCCTTTCATCAACGTAACCAGCTGAAGGCAAATTGAAAGCCCAAGACCAGTACCACCATATTTACGTCTAATCATGATATACAAGTGTGAGCTTTAAAGATGACGTTGTATGCTCGTATGATGCTATGACTTACGTGGTGCTACCATCCACTTGCGAGAATGGCATAAAAAGCACCTTTTGTTGTTCCTCGCTGATGCCAATACCGGTATCCACCACTTCAAATAGCAATGGGACTTCGTCGTTGCTGGTTTGCATCGTGCCTTTTTTATGTCTATCAATAGAACATCGAATAACGATCTCGCCTTCGTGCGTAAACTTGATAGCATTCCCGAGCAAGTTGATAACGATTCTATAATCCATGTTTTAGTAAAATCTATACATACATTCATCATGATTAAAAAATACATACTGCCTCAGCCTATTGGCGTCTGCCATGATAACAGCAGGTACATCGTTTGCCACCGTATATGTAACGTTAATTCGTTTTTGGATAGCAATGGCAATCAGCATATCGGTGATGTCGGCAATAAGCTCCTCAACATGCACAGGAGCAAGATCCAATGACACTTTGCCTGCTTGAAGTTTGGAAAAGTTGAGAAGGTCATCAATGATTTGAAGTAATCCTTCACATGAAGCTTTGGCGGTTCTCACAAGGTCATATTGTGCGGGGTCGAGCCTATTCAACAGCATTATTACTTGCATTGCATCTTTTTCGTGTTACTCCAATCCGAAAACTTACTCCGTCTCTGACAGTAATGTGATCATGCCATAGAATCCCGAAAACGGTGTTCGAATCTCGTGGCTCATGTTGGCCAAAAAGATCTCTCGCAATCGAGTCGCCTTATCAGCTGCTTCCTTACTACGTCTTGCTTCTTCCAATGCTTGCTTTTGTGTTTCAATCATCCTAAGCTTGCAAATAAGCATCTAAATTCATTATGACCTTATGATGGCTTACTTGACATTGGCTGTAGTCACACGTTTCACGGATTTAAACAACGAGGCATTCGTCAATGAGATACCCATTTGCTGGCATAGTAATCCAAGTACAGTAATATGGCGCTGTGTGAAGATGCCAACAGCTCCTTCAATAAACAAGCATCCCACTGTGGACGCCTTGTGCATGATAGGCATACAAATGACTGATTTTTTGCCAGCACGCTCGAACCACGACCCCACAGCAAATCGTGCATCTTGTTCAACATCGGCAATGAAAATGCTCTCTGATGTATGGATCGTGTGATGGATGATTTGACTTGATACCAAAGAACTGTTCTTGTTGATACGTTCGGGCTCATCATATGTCGTGATTGGGTCGTCCTCTTCCTGGTTGCCATACGCACCGATACCAAATCTTTTATCCTCATTAACAATAATAGCACCACGATCGGCACCAGAATTTTCCAAAATGATATGCATCATGCTCTTGAGTAGGGCATCAAACTTAACCTCCGATGACAGCACCTGGGAGCTTTTGAGGATGGATGCCATGTCGATCTACATGTAAACGAATCAGCATGTTGTTGTATAGAGAAAAGTAACGTTGCTATGTACTTACAATATCCAAGGTCACCAGTGTTTGCTCCGTAGTCACGGGTGGTATTAATTCCGAGCTGTAAGGTTCATTTGCCAAAGGATTACTGCTAGCATGGTCGTGGGATGAATTGCTCCATGTTTGCTGTGGATCGCGATCAGCGGTTGCCAATAATGGAAAAGGATCGGTTTGTGCACTCTTATCACGTGCTTCAATACGGTCGTCATTGAACAAGCTAAGCAAGTCAACGTATTTAGCATTGAGGTGCCGTGATTTTCCAAATGCTCCATAGCCAGTATAGAGATCGACAGCCTAAAAAATACAATCATTGAGTCATTGTTGCCTAGCAACAAAGAGCGTTGTCATTGTTACTTACCTTTTTGATCAAGGTATATGCCACATTACGTATCCCTTGTCTGTAATAGAATGCACCCGCCAGCTCATGTGTTATGCAAAGCTCCAGATACCATCCTCCTTCACGTGCTTGATTGATAGCTTCTTCGTATAATGAAATGGCCTCTATGATACGATGATGCCCTTCAAGACTTGCGAGTTCGGCTTCAACCAATGTCCAATATAGGGAGTAATTGACACGGCAATGCTGCATTAACTCGTATAAAATCTTTTGGTTGATGGCTACTTGCTTGATGCAATCATCCAATGTCTTGTTGTTGCCACGTGCACGTGCAATGAGAGCAATAGAATAATAAAACAAGGCCACCAGTGAATGTCGCATACCAGGAACTTGAGCCAACGTACGATAACAGAAACTTCCAAGCTCAATGGCTTGCTCGTAATGCTCGTATAATGTCATGGCAATGATCTTGTGAGATTGATACCAATTGAGAGGGATTTCAGAGGCTGAGCCTAATTTCATGCAGCTCTCGGTGATAAAGTGTTCATCGTTAAAGCCATCATCGCCATCAAAGACCTTGCCATCTTCCCAATAGGTGCGTCCCATTAATGCTTTGATCACTTGCACTGCTGCCATCGCCATCACGTTGCGATCGGTTGTCTCCGACCACTTTATGGTTTGATCGGCACAATCTTCTGCTACCGGAAGCACATCGCTGAGATGATGTCCTATTTGAAACAAATTTGTGCCGCGATTGAGTTGACCATAAAACTCGAAATCTCGGTCTCCTGCTGAAGAAGCATGCTGCGTGCCAGCATACAACAACGGCGTTGAATCTCGATAATGGCGATTGAAATGGCCGATAAAGACTCCGTATAGAAGATACGTTCTATCCTTTTCATAATTGCCCCCATGGCGATCAGCAAGTACTATGCCAAGTTGTCCCATTCTCTAAACCAATAGGGTCAATCACCTGCTTAATCATCATGTGATATCCAAAGACATGTTTTAGAGATGTGTGCTTACCTCCGCAGCTGCATAGTTTTTATACATATGGATATAGCCAAGTGCAAGGAATTCACAAGCAATGCTGGCAACAGGAGCCATACCATGTTTCAGTGCCATGTTGACAACGCGAGTTGCACATGTGCTCATTTCATGCAATTGTGAAGTCCAATAGAGCAAATGCGTTCTATCATCAAATATGAGCACGTGTTCAATGAATCGGATGGTTATCTAGTATCTTACAATTCCTCCAAGATATCCATTGTTGCCAGCACATGTGGGTCATTCGCTAGTTTGGTATCGGGGATTTGATCAATTCCAACCTCCTCAATTGTCATCTCAAGCTGCTTGTATTCTTGATCCATAGCCTCCTTGGGATTGCCCTTGAATAAAAACCTCTCGTTACCAAGATCTTCTAAGCAGGTAAGCAAGGAATCACGCCCATCATGTGGCCTCCGCTCCAAAAGATAATAACGTGATTGGATAAGATAGGCAGCCTTACGATCCAAAGCGTTTTTGGCATGCTTGAAAATGGTTGCCATCCATTCCTCGGTCGTTTCATTATCGCCCATCACAAAGCTTAGAGCCAACGCATTGATGTACACTTGTAAACTGCTTGCATAATGATCCTCATCCCAATCCTTTTCAGGATCACCGAGTCTTATAGCCGCCTTGTAATAATTGAAGGCCATGTTGTGAGCACCCGATTGGCGGCCTTTACTGCCTGCATCGATGAGTAACATTCGATAAGGATCCTTGTCATCCATAACCTTCAATAGCTCTTGGCATTTCAAAAGATGATCAGCTACCAGAAATGAATCCACAAGTTTTTCTAAAACATGATCACGCTTGTTAGCCCACTACTCTTAGAACACGAACGACCCCTTTTATTACCTTGCATCATATGTTGGGCAATTTTTAGGTGGATCTTGGCCCGTGCACCAGGTTTTACAAGCTCACCAGCTGCTTGTGTGATGCGATCATGACTCCATTTGAATTCACCATCACCAATGGGCATAACGTATCCTTCCTGTATCACTGTATGCAACCCACTAATGGGATCATAGGTCTTGCGGCTTCCTGAAGATGGCGACATGGTTGTGTTTGTGGATCGTTGGCTTGCCCCACTAAATTGGGTGCTATCGGTAGCTGTGTCGGCTGACATTACACTACTTTTATCGCTGCTACCATCCTCACTTTCATCATCCGATATTGATCCTGCCATCAACGCTTTCACTGTTGACCATGAAAAAGTGTCGCCAACAAAGGATGCTAGCTTGAGCAATTGCTGACCATGATGAGGCAGCTCCTGTAGCCGAGCAACCATAAATGAAACATCAGCTTCCATGGTATCCAAAAAGGTGCCTTGTTCTATACGTTCACGATCGTACTCCCAAACGTTGAATTCCCAATTGAAATAAATGTGCTTCTTGCGTTCCAACATTCGTAGTAGCTGTGCCGCGAAAAAGGCATTGCCGTTGGTTTTTCGATGAATGAGCTCTGCAAGCGGCATTACATAGCTGCGATCGGTGGTATCACGCTGCCGATGTAACGTGTCACAAACAAAATCGGTCATGGAATCCATTGTCAACCTCCCCACTTCGATGAATTGGATATTCGCATATTGATTTTCAAGGAGACTCGATTGCTTGTCATTCATTTCTTGGTCACGATATGACATGAAAACAAGGATGTTGACTTTTGAGAGAAGCAATGCAAGTAAAACATCCACCGAAGGGTCATCTACGACGATTGCAAAAGCGCTCGTTAATATTCATGCAGTAAGCAGATATCCATCATTGCCTCGTTTCCTACCAGCTTGATGTAGATCGTCAATAAACTAAACCACAACATAGTCATCAATAGCTGGTGTAGAATACATGTAGCTCATCTCTACGTGACTTACAATGGTTATCATTCGCCAATTGGATACGGCACGAAACACTTCAATGTACAGGTTATGAAAGCGTAATCGGGCCTCGACATCATCCACCTGGAATTGGGAGGCATCACGTACTCTTGTAAATTCATCTTTCTCGCCCGTAGCAACCAGCAGCGACTTTAGCTCCGGTACCCTATCTGCCAACACAGCAATGTTGGAGAATTGGGAGCCCAACCATGCTTTCAAATGATCACCAAACCGGCATACTTCTTCTTCGGTCTCAGATAATATTTGCTGCAATGCTTGTGATAGTAGACGCAGCATGCCGCTATACGGGACTTTGTTCCTCGAGTCAAATTTGGTCGACGTAATATACCTTGGAAACCATCACCACGTGAGCATATAGTAAACAACGCCTTGTATACAATGTCATCTTACCCACTCTTTCTTGCCAAGGGCTGCACAACATTAAATAGCGTAGACTTTCCTATATAGTATATGTGGTTGGTAACCATTGCCATGGAGATAACATTAACTAACCAATGCCTCCAGGTCCATAGATACCAACAACGGTAGCTGCTTGCTTTCCCCCATTGATAGAGACAAGCCTGCTACTTGTGCTGGAAATGTCACTGTTATCGTGTCCAGGGGGTGAATTCGGCGTTGATGATGATTTTTGTTCTGTGTCAGGGTCACTGTTACTATATGCCTCAAACGAGCTACCATGTCTGCTACTCCGGATTTTGACAGGTTTGTATTGGCTCACGAAAAGCTCGATGATGTAAATCATTCTGGAAATGATGGGCTGACGACCGTATACGGTACGTGGTATCATGAACACTGATGCAATGTCATGCTGTGCCAATGGAAATGAGGGGATGACCTAAATTGACATCGTAAGATATATATGGCAAAAGCGGCGATCGATATTCCTCCCCTTTCGATCCCATTATCCCAACCTGTCAATTGGAGAATGGTTTTCGATACATCCAGGTACACCCATTTCACCCATCCACTTTTATATACATCTCCTTTTTGATTCCTTACCCCAGTATCTCCTGTAGTCAGTCGTTGAAGGCACTCCTCAAGATCGCATTTTACGCCATGCATGCTCATGTATCGATCGTCTGGTGTTTTGCATACCATTTTCTCGATGATTTGGGATATCACTTCAGGGACGTTCAATTGAATGTCATGTACAGCTGGCATCTTTCGACTCAAGATGCTATTGACAATTTGTAATGGGCCTCCCTCAAAGGGTAATTGGCCTGTCAACAGCACAAAGAATACAACACCCAATGAGTAAATATCGGATCGATGATCGGCCATGTATGTGGTACGACCCGTTTGCTCGGGGCTAATGTAAATCAGGCTATTTTGCATGATCGCTTGATTCTTTTGGTACTTTCGCCATCCTTCGCTCGTGAGGTATTTTTCAAAGGAAGCATTACCACTACTGCCATTGACTGCAAAATTCCATAATCGTACTCCAGTGGCACCATCCCATCGAAAAGCATCCATATTGATTTGGCCATGTACAGTACTGTGGCGATGAATAAACTCCATGATATCGGTGCATCGTATTGCTAGTCGTAAAAAGGTGCCAATGTCGTCGATGGTGCGATTGGAGAATTGGTGATCATTATAGGCGTCGGCATAAATAGCGACTGCAAGTCCGCTCGATGATAAGTGAGTATACTCTACAGGGCGCACTATAACATGGATACATAGTTTAATCAACGATGCATGTTAAAAATATGGATGTGGATGATGACATACCTAGATATTGAGGACCATCGGCTGTCTGATAGAGCTGTTTGATAATGTAGTATTCGCGTTCGAGTTGAAAAGTGTTGTTTGACACCTTGGCAACCACCGCCATTTTGTCGGACACCCTATTACATGATCCATCATTAGTGCCACCTATGATGCGGTGTTGATTTCGATATGCGCTACCTGTATCCATTGATAAGGCTGAGGTTATTATTACAATGATCCACGTTTGGTATGCGTGTGGCATTTACAAAATGGTAACCCGTTATATGCAGAGCATCTGCTAATCGAGATCGAAAAGTGGTATCAGACAAAGACCCACTGCTTGATTCTGTGCTAGGCATAGAGACAAAAGGGAAAGAAAAAGATGATGGATATAGGGAAATGCATATGAAAAAAGTGTTAACCAAGCTGCGGGGCTGGATTTGTGGAGACAGAAAGGGGAAAAGGGAGGTATGCGGATGAAGTCGGCTGATACGTTTGTTGGTTGGTAGATGAGAACCAGAGTGTGTACAAGGGGCATCACAAAAAAAGATATCAAAACAAATAGCCTAACGAATGTCTGTGGGTGGCTTAAGTTGAGTTGACACTTGTCTCCTCCTGCATGCAGTTGGTGGTGATGGTGGGGTTACTTTATTCTTTGGATGTTCCATCGTATCTTGATCCAATAATCCTGCCAAGTCCTTTCGGGGGAAGTACGATATTATATAGATTCTACCTGCGTTTCTATCATTAATAAAGTGCACGAGCCATACATGGTAGGACGCGGCGATCTCACTGAAAATGTGCTGCCCTTTCAAGAAAACTTGTCAGTCAGGGAGCTCTTACTCCAAGGAGATCCCCACACATCAAGGAGATGATTTGGCTTCTTTTCATTAACAGCATGTGCATGTCAATAGTATGAGCAAAAACAACTTGGCACCCATCCTATTCCCGCTCTCTTTTTTTCTCCTATTTTTCCTCAATCCTGTCACCAAACCAGGCAGATGCATGAGCACACTGCTATAAACGGTATAGATCGCTAGCCACTAACGTGGACTAAACGCCACTGCACATTTGCGTCTGGATTCATAGTTGGCTCTTTATTGTCACTAGGGACATCATCATTTTGATGGAAAGCGATATCAAAAAATGCAGCATGAGATCATGACTCAAACATGTTGCATGGTGTTGCTCGTGTGGTAGGGGAACTAGTTATGGTGCACGTTCATGGCCTATTGCTGGTAACGAACACTGCGATGATGCGATCATTGATGCGAAAAGTATCGAATGCGGGGGATGGTGTAATGAATTTGGCAACTGCAACTCCACGACTCTTGTCTTTGTCCCTCTTCTACTTTTAGCCCATTCACGACATCCCGATCAAGGTAATGCTCTTATCGGTTGTAGGGTATTCATATGTCCATAGTTAGGGAGGTGTCCAAGTGCTGTATCCAAGGTGATATCGTTGCTTCCTCTTGTTCGTTGTCATGCCGCTCCACGCTTGGTGTTAAAGGTACATTCAAAGCCCAATGTAGCAGAAGAGCTTGTTCGATTGATGTGCTCCTTGTATAGACGGCAGCATTGGTTTCAAGACGTTGGCTCATTTGGCTTTTTGTTTCTATTCGACTACACTACACCATGGCTTTCGGTTTCCAGCAACCCAACATGAAAGGTCTTTATACGTATGATGAGAGGCAAGAAGTACAGTGGACAAAGACAATGGAAGAGGCGTATAAGGTAACAATGAGTGATGATATTATTGAATAGGTTCTTGGTCAGGTAATGCAGCTTTGGGCATCATCTCTTCTTGGGTTCGACTCCCAGCCTGTACCTTTTGCCATTTGGCTCCCTTCTCGTGACACATGTTGGTGGTTACTCTTTGACGATTGGGCCGACAGGGAATCTTTCTTTCTATGTTGGAGACGATGAATGAGAGTGATGAGTATGGGCTCCAGGGTGCTATGAAAGCGATGGTATTGATGGTGATTTGATGGTGATTTGATTGTGTGGTTCTTTCTTTTATTTATAGGGACGACGATGGCAGCCTCTACGAGATTGACGATATTCATCACCATAGCACGAAGATGACGACAACGACAATGACGCAGACAAGCATGGTTTCCCATTCTCTTGGCAAGATGTTGTTTGCTGAAGCCCCACATCTCATTGGCATCCAAAAGAAAGCCTGCAAGGATCGCATTCCTTTATATTCGTGTCTTGGATAATTCTCATGGCCATGGAGATCGCGATGGATAAAGACGACCATGGAAAAGAAGCTATTGTAAAGGCATTGTTTATCATCCACTGGGCCTTAGCTAGCTTATTCCTCGTCTCGTCTTGTTTATGGATCGTAGTCTAGATGGTGTTAGAAATATACGCCTTTTCTAATACAATAAAGAGTGGGTGACCTTAAGAGAAAAAGCGAGTTTCAGTACGACTGCTCAATCGACGTATCTTAAGATCCTTGTGCATTGTATTCATTGGGTTATGCAAATTGGCTAATGCAGCTTGATCTCCACATCCCAATACGTATGATTATGGGACTATGACTTGTCATACACGTAATAACTTATACGTGTTCCGTTTGATGTTTACGTACTTTTCTACAGGCAATCATGATCCCATTTATGCAGCAACCTGTCAACGACACGTGTGTAACCACCATGTGCTAATTCACGCTGAGAGTACCTTGCTCCCAATACAATCAATTAGCAGCAACAGCTCCATCCCACTTATTACAGTATAGGTTCCCCATTGTTTTCATAATGAATCGTAGAGGATTTCCGAGAACGAGAGATAGAGGCACCTTTATGTGTTACATATAAGGCAAGCATGATGCTATATGGAAGTAGTCTTTGTTCATTGTCAAGTAGCTTGTCCTGGCAGAGCCAAAGATGCAAAGGGGCGTGTTTGTGTAAGAAAGCCGAGCGAACGAAACTTGTGAGGGATCAATACTATTGGTGGCGAGATGCATGAAGCAGCTCCATTCCCTATAGTCAGGTCTGCCCATGGTTGCCCTGTGGAATGGTTCGTTGTTGTACTGAGAAATGTCATAGGTAAGCATGGCATGTTCATGCACTCGTGTCACATTGTATCACAGCTCCTCTCTTGAACATAATGAATTAAGCTCACAATGAGCCAAGCTTATATAACATGCATTACATTGGGTACCCTCACTATGGATTTATTGTCTTTGAAATATAAGTGTTTGAGAATTCCCACTACATTTCGTCTATCAGCATGTGACCAATGTCCCAAAGAACAAAAAATCCGGACCCGTACGATGATGTAAATGATCCCATCTCGCTTTTCGACCTTAAAATTTTCTCTTCCCCCTTAATCCACAACCATGAAGTGATCCACATCGTTCACATATGAAATGATAATACTGTGCTCTGAATATTAGGTTGAATCGAATGTTCGTTTAATAAAAGAAGTCGAAGACTAGGACATGGTAGTGCGGGTGTCACAAGTAGGTATGATAACGGAACAGCGTTGCAAATTGAATAACGTACGGGTGAGTCACGTAGATAACAGGGATAAAAGTATCATCGAAGTCGTGGTTGCTGCCGTCATAAACATCCTTCATCCATGAGTAGAAGATAGCCGCTGCATGCGCTGGCTCGAGGAATCCGATATCATCCATGGCTGTAAACACCTTTCGTCCATTCCATCCAATCCATCGTCATCCTAAGCCTAGCCACGTGATATGATCCATCGTTCTTGCTGACGACGCGCCAAGTAACCAAAGCAACATTCCAAGATTTCCCCTCACTGCACTTGATTGCATCCATCCCTCATAACCATACATGTTGATCGAAGCGTCACGTGATTGCAACTTATACCTCGATGAGACAATGTCCAACGTCTTTGCTTCGAGATCAATACCTTGTTACTGCCCATATGTACGATCATCCAACATGTTCAACTTGTGATGCACGCTACGTAAGTAATCAACGATGGCGCTATCTTTTCATGTCAACATACCTAATGTGCAGCAATGCAGCTATGCAGCCATGGAACGAATACGCACAACACTCCTTGGGATCTTGTATGAACGAGAAAGCGGCGAACTACACTCGAACTTTAGTACTACAATGTTCAATATGGATAATAAAGAATGGAGTCGATTGAACGTACATGTTGTATTGCAATGGAAGTATGAGTCATGGGTCGATCACGCGTGTGCTTGTTTTTGAATGCTCTGCGCTGGGAAGTGTCGCCATTGACCAGCTGTTCACCCAATGAAGCTAAGCATTGAAGGCAATGGGAGCAGTTGGTACTCTGCTATGTGTAACAGGAGTTAGGATTACCTTGCTTTGTAAAGCGGAAAAGGAGAAGGTGGAGCTCTTTGTTTTCGCTCTCTTTGTTCTCTCATTTGTACACTCCACAGCTCCCCGCTTGCTACAGCTGCTGATTTTGATATGTGTATTAATGATATCCTATACACTTGGATCAACAAGAATCACTACAACTCGATATTCCAATTGTGTATAGTCCTCGTAATCAAGCCATCCATGATCGTACTATGATCGGGATTTGGCGTCGATTAGGCCCGTGCGTTCTTATGCAGATCGACTCCTGGATTTAGACCAACCAATAACATGTGTGACCCATCCACCAAGTATGTAGTCATCCCACCAATTGTGGTATTTGCGTGATATTGTCACAATGGGTGACTTCTTTATCACTGGATGTTTGTGTACAATGAACCGATATTACCCAATGCAATCATCATCCTCCAGTTCCTGCAACAACCTAAGAGCTCATTACAGTGCGGGGTGTGATTTGGATAGCAACGTGTGGAGCACAGGCCATGCTGCATTTCCTATTCTGGTCACAATGGCACACTTGTACATGATGATGGATCATTACTCGAAGTTTTAAAAGATAACTATAGCGCCTTTATGAGAACGAGAATTATCGCTACATCTGAAAGTACCTGTAGACGACGTATCAACTCTCATAACCTGATTCGAGAGACACTTTCATTCATATGGTGTGGTAGCTATACAGCCTTGACGCACTCATCCGCATCCCAAACAACCCTTCTTTATTATAATAAACTATACTTTCAAAACGAACGCATCATTATACACGGAAAAAGAGTTAATAACACGCCAAGTGTCAAGAGGAATCAAGGAAGACGGGCAATCTGCACTATGGTTGCTATGGAATCTTGATGGGTCCATTTCCTTCCCAATCAAACCTTTTATTGAAATAAACTACTTTATCGTAATCTACACGCAATTCTACACCTAAGTTGGTTTGGTAACGCCCCATTTGCAAAGTGAGATCGAGAGGGGGGGGAAATGGGACTGTGTGGGCGGGAGTGTATTTAAGTTGGCCTTGTTTCCATGGT